CTGAATGGAGTAGGCAGGTCGCAGCAGTGGTGGGGATGCTGACTTTTAGTCTGAATGCACGTGCATAAACACAGCCTCCATTGTTTATGGCCTGGCATTTGTTTTTTTCACAGACTGTAAGTACCCTTGTTATCCAAGCAGCCAATGTATCCGCTTTGTACAAATGTGAAGCGGTGAACAAAGCTGGGAGAGGAGAGAGGGTTATCTCCTTCCACGTGACCAGTAAGTGCTCTCCAGGGGCTGGGCTGTCTGATACTCTGTTGTCCTGGCCATTCCCATGAGTGGCGTGGCTTTAGGAAGGGGAGTTGGATGGCTAATTGATGCTTTTGTTCATAAAGGAGAGTTCCTCAGGTAGCTCCCGGGCTCACGTGAAGTCAGTACATCTGACTTCACAGGAGAGGGAGCATGAGTTCACACGTGCTTTTGAAGCTCAAGTCCTGCGTGATATTTTTGTCTTTGTCATCACAGTGCAGCACAGCGCTTGGCTTAGTGAGGTTCAGTCAACGTTTATGCACTTGCTGTTGAACAGCTGACAAGGTTGGGTTTTGGGGAGGCAATTGTAATGACATTGGAGCAGTGCCTTCCCAATACTACCGACTTTGTTCATCTTAATTCTATGGCTCAGCTTTAGCTGACTGGATGGAATAAAATATTTCAGTCTGAGCTAATTCACTGTAATAAACGTAGCTTTCCTGTCAGTGAGTGTTATATATTAATGAGGAATTAATTTTTTAAATCCCAAGTTATAATTATCTGCTTTGAATTGGGGGGGGATTAAATCTTAAAAACCGTGCTTAGAGCTCAAAGTGGAGATTTCATATATATCTGAGGAATTCATTTACATTTCCAAATAATGTATTTTGGCAAAATAATACATTTTGAATCTGGAATTGTCCAGTTTGGTTGTCTCCTTGTATTCCATCATCTGGGAATGCCAGAGCTTCACCTCTCTTGGTGCTTTATCGCAGACTGAAGGCAGCAAGGAAGCAATAGTGTGCTGCCCAAGTTAAATCACTGTCTTCTAAGCATGGCTTTTACATTTCAGAGGGTTTTGAAATCACTTTGCAACCCGGCACCCAGCCCACCGAGCAGGAGAGCGTGTCTCTGTGGTGCTCCGCGGACCGAACTATGTTTGAGAACCTCACGTGGTACAAACTTGGCCCACAGGCTCTGCCCATCCACGTGGGAGAGCTGCCCACACCTGTTTGCAAGAACTTGGATGCTCTTTGGAAAATGAACGCCACGATGATCTCTAATAGCACAAATGACATTTTGATCATGGAGTTGCAGAATGCATCCTTGCAGGACCAAGGAGACTACATCTGCTTTGCTCAGGACAGGAAGACCAAGAAAAGACATTGCGTGGCCAGGCAGCTTACAGTCCTAGGTAGGGAGGTAACTCTGGACCATCCAGAAGCAGTTGGGATGCCGTAAATGTAATGCTTTCAGGGGCTGTGTGAAGATTGTCCTCTAGCAGCTTATGAAGTAGACCGGTGAGCACTTATCTTGCGGAAAGTCCTCAAGTCAGAAGGAAGCTAATCGTGGTGAAGTGATGTATTAAAAAGAGAAAATAACCCCATTCTTTCCAGCCCTGATGGTGGGGTCACTCACTACTATCTGCAAGGGATTCCCCTAAAGCAGGGAAGTTTCTGCCTCATTCTTGAGCATTCAGTTATTTAAATAGACACATATTTGTGAATGCCTACCGTGAGCTAGGAGGGTGCCGGAAGTTCATAGTGGTGGGCAGAGTGAAGACACAGACAACTGCTGGGCTGTGGGGTACAGCGAGGTCTCTGTGTCCATGAGGACAGGGGTTGTTTCTGTTTTACTCCTTGCTGAGCTCCAGGCATAGAACATGGTGGCACATACTGCGTGCTTGATAAGACATCTGCTGCCTGAAAAGTGTAGTGATGGGGTTGTTTAAGACCTGTGAGAGCCTCTGGGAGGGATGCTGCACTCAGTGCCTGTACCTCTGTGGTACAGCTCACGGTCAATGAAATGAGCATTTTAGTGCAAGAAAGCTTTGTAAGTCCCACACCAAGTCACTCTCTACACCTCCTCTAACCCCGTGCCTTGCACAAAATCCGTGCAGACATGGCTCTGTCTCTGGGGAAATCAGTCAAATTTGGGGAGTTTCTCTGTGCTATCTCCTTCCATTTTCTCCTCTCCCTAGTGTCCCTTCCTAGTTTCTAGGGTGCATGTGTTCTGTTTTTTTTTTAACTGTCGGGAAGGGGGAACTGCCCAGATAAACTAATTTATACCAAAGTTTTAGAGGAATAATATTTTCAAAGGCCTTGACATATTTTAAGAGGTATTTTCAAACAGGCACTAGGACAGATTTTGCTAGTGTTGAGACTCTGGTGTCAGAAGAAGAGATGTTTTCGAGTGAAGTCATCCCAAGGCCCTTCAAATCACACCCCATATATGATCATGGTTTTTCTGTTCATCTTGGTGACCGGTCTGGTTTCAAGCTAGTGAAAAAATTCAGAAAGAGATGTGAAGGAGGTTCCTGGCTTTGCCATGCCCAGGAAATACATGCTCACAATGAGCTGGTTTGCTCTCTAAGGACTCCCAAGTTGTTTTCCAAAAATTATTCTTGGAAATAGACTGGAGTCCATTTGCTTAAGCCCCAGCGTAGTTCACCATTGAGGTAATCTAATTTTGCTAAATGTTGAAGTGGATTCTCTCAGCAGGATTCTTTTCGATGTTCAGTTGGTTTGGACAAGATATTTCCACAGCACTTTGATGATTTGTAGGAAAGGTTAAATCTAAAGTTGTCCTGTACATTTAAATGAGTACCTATGGGCTTCATTTTTTAAAAATCTTTGACTTTCCTTAGGTTATCATTGTTTTGTCTGTGTTTTAGTGGAAATTCTGAGTTCAACTGTTTGCTTAGTTATAAGGACTGGGGTAAGTTGTTTAACCCCTTTCATCTGCAAAATAAGGCTAATACTGCCCACCATAGGGTCGATAGTGAAAAACAGAAATAGGACAAATGAGTTTTGTAAAAAGTGTCAAATAAATATAAGGCATTCTTTGTTGAATTACACTAAAGTTATGTACTTTCCAAGAGAAACATGGCAGAATTCTTGTGTGTCACTGGCTAGAATTTACTTATTTATTTGGAGGGAAGTCAAGGGTGACAGCTTTTATTTTGCGATGTGATTACCAGCTTGAATCACTAATATGAATGTTCAAAGAGATGCAGTGATCTGTCTGAACTGACTGACTTGTTTCATTTAACTTTACGCCATGAACAATGCTCCAGTTATCAACCTCTGTGTATTTTTGGCTTAGTAAATTAACAGTTTACTAAACGGTTTTAATAGTTTACTGATATGAAAACCACTTCAAAACTTATAACTAAATGTCCTATGATTTTTTTTGTGTGCGTGTGCATAGAGCGCATGGCACCCACAATCACAGGAAACCTGGAGAACCAGACAACAAGTATTGGTGAAACCATCGAAGTTTCCTGCACAGCGTCTGGGAATCCCCCTCCACAGATTACGTGGTTTAAAGACAATGAGACGCTTGTGGAAGATTCAGGTGAATAGAGCATGTCGGTCTCTTTTTGGCTGCAAAATCTTCCTAGAGATATTAACTAAAATCCATATTATTTCTTTCTTAAAAAAATTATTTATTTACTCATTTATTTATTTATTTTTATTAAGGTATATCGATGTACAATATTATTTAAGTTGCAGGTGGACAGCATAGTGAGTCTCAATTTTTAAAGATTATTCTCCATTTACAGTTATAAAGTATTGACTGTATCCCCTGTGCTGTACAATATATCCTTGTAGCTTATTTATTTTATACTTAGTAGTTTGTACCTCTTAATCCCCTACCCCTATCTTGCTTCCCTCTCCCCTGTCCCCTCTCCCCACTGGTCACCACTAGTTTGTTCTCTATATCTGTGAGTCTGTTTCTTTTTTGTTATATTCACTAGTTTGTTTTATTTTTTAGATTCCACATAGAAGTGTCATACAGTATAAAATCCATACGGTTTCTTGATTTGTTTTAGGTAGAACAGAAAGCAATATTACCGCCCATGGTCTGGCTCATCTCATAGACTCGGAACCCGAGTATTCAGAGCCTGCTGAATTCTCGTGGAAGCCAGGGGAGCTGAGACAGCAGTTGACCCTGTATGGCTCTTTTTAGAGTTAGATAATAGCCCAAGATAAAGGGAAACATGTACATTAAAAAGATTTTTGTCCTGAAAAACTCTCCCAGACCACATCATAAATAAAACCCATCAATTTCCCCCTCTCTCAGGCATCGTGCTACAAGATGGGAACCGGAACCTAACTATCCGCAGGGTGAGGAAGGAGGATGAAGGCCTGTACACCTGCCAGGCATGCAGTGTTCTCGGGTGTGCAAAAGTGGAGGCGTTTTTCACAGTGGAAGGTCAGTGGGAATTCATAGACCATCAGGTGGCTTTTAAAAATTAGAGAGGCCCGCGTACCACAAAAAAAAAAAAAAAATTAGCTTGTATCTGGGCTTCCCTGGTGGCGCAGTGGTTGAGAGTCCGCCTGCCGATGCAGGGGACACGGGTTCGTGCCCCGGTCCGGGAAGGTCCCACGTGCCGCGGAGCGACTGGGCCCGTGAGCCATGGCCGCTGAGCCTGAGCGTCCGGAGTCTGTGCTCCGCAACGGGAGAGGCCACGGCAGTGAGAGGCCCGCGTACCGCAAAAAAAAAAAAAAAAAAAAACAAATTAGCTTGTATCTTATATATACTCATATACTTTGGGCAGGAGGGTTATGGGTGGTTTTAATATTCTTTGTACTTTGTATGTTTTCTATTATAAGTATATGTTATTTTAACCAGAAAACATAATTAATGTTATTTTAATTCTGCTCTCATCACATTTCTATCCCCGCAGTTCTCACTGTGGAAAAATTCTTAGCCAGGCGGGTGGAATGTCCTCCTCTCCCTGACTCTTTCTTCATGTGAATGGCTTAATTAACTTGTTATGAAAATTATGCCTCTATATTTATTAGGTAGAATTGCTGCCTAGTCATGAAAGTCGGTGCTATCTAGATAGTCACAAAGGTTCATAGTTTTTATTGGACTAAAGGTAATTAACATTCATTTGTGAACAATAGACCATTGCTTCTCTGATATGGAAAATTTGGGTTCTTATCTAAATGTGTATGCAGGAATGATGTGAAATCTGGCATTTTCTCAGATGGGAAAGGTGGATTTGTGACAGAATATTTTATCTTCAAAAGTGTATTCCTATGTCTTTTTAAAAATAACCCATCAGGGGACAATGAAACTGTATTATGTGGATGAAGGAATGGTATGCAAGGGGAAAATAGAGGGGTGGTGATAGATAGAGTAACTGATGGATTTCTATGCACTCATCCTAATTTGTCTCTCAAAGACTAGATTTTAGTTCCTTTAGTCTGTCAAATCTATGTTGCCAAGTATTACATCTCAATACCTTGACTTCTTTTCAAATCTGTAGGCTTATTACCATTTTGTAAACTGCACTTGCAAATAAAGATTTCAAGTGACACGGTGGTTTTGTCACTTTCAAAGTGCTACATGTTTTAGGCAAAATCCTAAGGGAGACTTCCAGTTCTCTCCCATGCTTTGCCTCAGCTCTGTTAGCTGTCTGCAGCTGGTTACCAAGAGGCCTAACTAGGTAACCTTGGCACAGAGATTGTATTTACTTCTCACCAGAAGAGAATACTAAGAAAGGAAGAGGTAAATATTTAATGCTCCTGCTACTTTCCCAAATGTTCATATGGGAATATTAATGCACCAACTTATATAGACAGTTGAATCTTTGAACTTTTTACTATGAACAAACAGACTTTTAAATCTCTATGTATAAATAGAGAATTCCTTCAGTAAGACCACCAGAGAAACAAAATCTACTTCCAAGCATACTTGGTGCTTGTCTCTCAAGTATAACTCTTATTTTGCTAACTAATTAATTACTTGTCTTTCTGTCTTCTTGAGGCTGCCTGAGCCACTCTCACAGCTTGTGGCCCAGTTTGATTCACACTGCACTCATCCAATGGGAGAGCCTAAGTGATCATTGCTTCCTTACCACCACTCTGCTAATCACTCTTGGTTGAAAGCCTCCTCTGGGCTTAATTTTCCCCACTCAGAGCTGTCCTCTGGAGTCCTGAACATCTGCAGCTTTCCTTGCTGACCTCCAGCTTTTTCTCTTCTCTTTCCTTTCCTGAGTATGTTTAAACTCATACTACCAGGCCACGCCTGAGGCACTCACCTCAGCTCTTTCACTTTCCTCACTGAGGCTCCTGCCACACAAGGATGGGGTAGTGAAATGTTAGCCAGTGTTGGACAGACCTTGTTTAACTCTTGACCATTCCATCAACTTTCTGTGTGCCTTTGATGAAGTAGCTTAACCTCTGTGAGCTTGCTTCTCCATCTGAAAACTGAGGGTTATCGAGAAGACTGAGTGACGTGACATATCTAAAGTGATGAGCATCTCGTAGGTGCCCAGTCACCAATTGCTCTCTGGCCAAAGGACTGCATTTATTTCCCTACTTGTTTTCTTAAACAGTCCTTCCGCAAACTCCATACAGATCAAAATATAGACCAACAGCATAAAACCAAACATTTATTTTCCCCAAATAGAATACTTTTCTTCTCTGTAGAACATGATCTGGCTTTTTTTTTTCCATCAAAGTCTGCTCTTCTTCCAAATGCTTTCTGTTTGTCTTTTAGGACATAAATATTTCTCTCTTAATTACTTTAGAATTTTACTGTTGGAAGTTTTCATGAGCAATGTTTTGCAAACTTGAAATTATCCATTAAGAATATTATAAACTCCATTCAAGTTAGAGGTTTGTGACTATTATTGTCTAGAATTTTCCTGAGTTGGTAAGATTGAGATTTTTCTTTAGTGTGGAACTTTGTTATTTTATATCAAAAGGTATGAGTTTCCAGTTGTTGATGCTCATTCATTTGTGTCTTTCCAGGTGCCCAGGAAAAGACAAACTTGGAAGTCATTATTCTAGTCGGCACTGCAGTGATTGCCATGTTCTTCTGGCTACTTCTTGTCATCGTTCTACGGACCGTTAAGCGGGTAACGAAATCATTTCCCTTCCGTCCCTTGCACGTTGGTTTTCATGATTAATGAAAGCTGACTGGGGTTCTTTGAGTTGATTCTTCCCATTGTTATTGGCTCAACAGGCACAATTTTATTTCTATACAATAACCTTCTTACCCACTTGCTTTTGGCTAGACCACTGGGCTTTAATTGATAGAAGCAACAAGAGGAGAAATGGGCTTGGACTGTCTAGTGTAATTAAGATTTAAGAATTAAATTCTGAGCTCATTTGGGGGTCGAGGGGACACTGGGAGCAGAATTATAATAGGACTACTCTCACACACTATGAGCCATTTAGAAAATGAGACACCAAGAATGGGGCTTCTATAAACAACAATAACAAGCACAGAGAACAACAGCCAGACAACAGGGTGTGTGTGACCGGAAGGAGCAATGCTTTCCAGGCCAGTGGAGGGGAACTGAAGACGGGCTACTTATCCATCGTCATGGATCCAGACGAACTCCCCCTGGATGAGCACTGTGAACGCCTGCCTTATGATGCCAGCAAATGGGAATTCCCCAGAGACCGGCTGAAACTAGGTGTGTTTTCAAGTGATATTAATTTGATATTGGGTTTACCAGGCCATCTCTTCCTCTTTTAGGCTGCTGACAAATCTAATCTATTTAAATGTTGGATCCTGGTTCAGAAAATGCATCCCATCTCCTGAATTTGAGTAATCGTCCATTTTAGTCACTTAGAAGTAGGGTCCCTGTATAATCACCCAAAGCAGGACATTTAGAGGGTGAAGAGGGGGGTATTAAATTATTAAGCCAGGACAAGGGGGTCAACTGTACTGTCCATGATAAACTGGGATGTATGGTCACCCTATCAAGTCAGAATCTTTGCCTATCGCTTTGGTGGTGAAATAGTCCAAATCTGTTTTGTTGTTGACTCTAGGTAAGCCTCTTGGCCGTGGTGCCTTTGGGCAAGTGATTGAAGCAGATGCCTTTGGAATTGACAAGACAGCAACCTGCAAGACAGTGGCTGTCAAAATGTTGAAAGGTAAAAGCAAAATTCTATGGCTCTATGGTGATGTATCCCTCTATCTGTTTCATCCCATCTTTAAACATGATGAAAGGCTTGTATTAGTGGCTCTGTGGCTAGGTGGGCCCACGAGCCAAACATGCAGCCAGACTATACGATGCCTTTGTACAAACTAGATAAAAATTTCCTCTTTTATAGACTCATGTCAGGGTCCACAGCCTGGCAGGCAAAGTTGGGATGGATCTGAGCTCCCCTACCGCCCCACCTTGCCTGGGAGCCCTTGCACAGATCACAGCTTGTACAACTATATTTAGTAGTCCGGCTATAGGAAAAAAATACCTTGGTTACATCAAAACTGTTTTCTTAGTGTACTATAGCGCATTAGTAAGATAATTACAGACCATCAAGAAACGGAAAAAGAAATTTGATGTAATAAGTAAAAATAGCAGCATGCAAAAACCAGCATGTTCCCTAGAATTGGAATATGTAAAAGATTCTCACATATAAAAGGCAATATGCAAAATAAGAATGGTTGTGCTGGGAAAAAAAGGATTAAGGGGGACATTTTTAAAATTAAAAGTTTCATAAACAATTGTCAAGCCTAATCGTAATGGAATTCTGGTCTTGCCGTTTTAATTTTGGGGGGGGGTGATGCGTATAAAGCTCTTTGCTAGAATTCTGATGTGCTTTCATTGATGGAGACAGTGCTACTGACCCTTCGCCAATAGGTCTTGTGCATTTTGAAGGCATCTCTCTCCTTTTGCCTTTTCTCGCTTGTAGCCGAGGAGTATGTAATTTTGAGGTGGCTCATCAGGGCCTGAGGTGTGGACCACGTCTGTGAATTAGAGGGAAGTGTACCAGTCTGTACAGGATCAAACTCACAGTCTTAGCTTCATCGGCCTCATGTGCCAACTGGCTTTGCCAGCTGGCCCTTGTTAAGTTTCCTGCTCGGCACAGATTGGTGGGAACTCCAGCATAACCCCTAACGCATGAGCAATACATGGTGTTGCTTCCTTATGAGGGAGCACTGAAATAATCAGGCCCTAAGAAGCATAGTAAACCTGATATGTGGAAATCCAGTTTTGTAAAAGGAGAAAATCTGGGCATGATTTCATTTGCAGATGTATTCTCCACTTTGCAAAAGACCTCACAGTGGCTTCCTTCAAATATCAAACATTCTGGGTGCACGTAAAGAATTCGATTTAGAATTATAAAATATAATTTATGTTTGTCTTTTAATGCAGCTAGCCTGTCAATTGGGTTACAGTTGTATTACCCCTGGAGGGAAAGTTGCACAGATGCACACCGTGCAGCGTTAATCCTCCTAAGGTAATGCCTCATGTATGATTTCCCTCTTTGTTTATATTTGTAGAAGGAGCAACACACAGCGAACACCGAGCTCTCATGTCTGAACTCAAGATCCTCATTCATATTGGCCACCATCTCAATGTGGTCAATCTTCTTGGTGCCTGTACCAAGCCAGGGGGTGAGTGTCTATAGATGGCTCTGGCTGTGGGATTTTGGCATATACTTTTCTGCTGGTGTTTGAGGGAAACCACCCAACTCCCATGGCCTTGGTTTCCTTAACTTAGGAAACTTTGGCAGATTCCTATATATAAATATATTTCATGGAGGTTTAATGGGCACTGTAAATTATTCTAGAACGTGAATTAAAAAATACTACATCATTATAATACAGTTTGCTACTTATGTAATAGGTGTTCAGAGGAGAAGAGTAAACTTCCCTCCAAATTTGAAAACAAAGGACTTTAAGAGTGGTGCCCCCTAAAATGGAGTCATCTCAGGAGATTGTGTTGAAAAGCACGTGGGTGGATTTTCTTCTGAAATTTTGGTTTATCTTCTGTGGAATTGCCTTTTGGAAAAAGAAAAGTTACAATATAAGGGAATTGCAGCCAGCTGATTTCTATGATCCTGTTTCCAGTGAAAGGGTGTAGCCTCTTCTGTGATATTTTCTAGCTCATTGATGTCTTAAACACTTGGTGAGAAACGAGTGAAAATACAAATACATTTTCTCTTCTTGGTATGCTGTGCTGTCTGCAGGGCCACTCATGGTGATTGTGGAATTCTGCAAGTTTGGAAACCTGTCAACTTACTTAAGGAGCAAGAGAAATGAGTTTGTCCCCTACAAGGTATGTCATTTCCTAACAACTGTGGTCACGCTGTAAAATGGAGAACAACTCAAAGTGGTACAGGTTAAGTTTTTTGGTAAAATTCTGCAAAGAAATTGTGAGGAATCTTTTCATGTTACCTCTTGGCTGTTGTAACTTCCTCTTTTACCTTCTGGAGGACACATACTTCTCATGTTTTATTTTTGTGACTCTGATCTACCGACCCATTATAGATAATGCCAAGGAGGGGAAGGTGGGTGTGATTAAGGGTAGGGAATGACAGGTGGAAGGACAGCTCTGGATTATTCTATCTCTGCACTGGTCATATGTGGCCCTATGGAGTGTCAATCCCAGTGTCAAAAGTGCCCTAATGTTGGAAGTGTGTCTGAGTGAAACTTGTAACAAGGCCCTTATCTCTAAGCTAGAAAAGAGACAGGCTTTATGGAAGAAAATCTATTATGTAGAACACTTGCCCCAAATTTCAGCCCAGAGATTCCATGATCCTGAAATTGATGTCTCTCATCTTCTTTTAATAGTTACAATTGTTTCTATACTTTAACTACATTGGAGAGATTTTCTGGTGTTCAAGGAGTTTGTTCATGTGTTTCGTTCTAGACTAAAGGGGCACGATTCCGGCAAGGGAAAGAATACGTTGGGGAAATCACCGTGGATCCTAAACGCCGCTTGGACAGCATCACCAGTAGCCAGAGCTCAGCCAGCTCCGGATTTGTTGAGGAGAAATCCCTCAGTGATGTGGAGGAAGAGGAAGGTACCTGCCATTGCTTCCTCTGCACCGAATGCATGCTCTTGTAGGAACAGACGAGGTGACAGGGTGTTACAATGAATTTTGTCCTGGAAAAATCCAGCATTACCTAATATTTGAAAGAGACCTAAATTTCTAGGAGGCTTTCATTCAGTCTCCCCAAAAGTGAGGGGCGGAAGGTCTAAATAAGCAGCAGGCTACGTGGTGAGGCAGAGCATGGCTAGCCTGAGAAATCTAGGTCCCCCAGGAGGGCTAAGCAGTTGGCAAACAGTCAAGCCAACGCTCTTCAAGTCTTGGTTCAACATTTGTCAGCAGGAGAGGCTCAGCGCCATCTTCCGGATGGGCAAAGGAGGCTCTCTGGTGTTTGATCCAGCCTCCCCATTGTCCACAGCGGTTCAGTCCCACCTTGTCTGCTTCACCAGCACAACAGAAGTCCTTCAGTTAATCATACCCAACCTTCTCCAAGGCAGTGTAGGCATCTGTTGTTTCTACCCCAAGTGGCTTATCAAGTCTTCCATATTTCGTCAGAAGAGTCTTGGTCACTACACTTTTCTTTATCCACTTATGCTTCCAGTGATATTTTAGTGCTCTTTATGAGTGGAGCTGTGTTCCCAGTCTAACTTTCAGGACCTCTTCCAGCTTCAGGATACACTGTATATCTGCTTCCCTCAGAAGGAGCAGAGACAGCTCCGTGGAGGTAGAGATGGGGCTTCCCGACATTTGGGTCTTCTTGAGGCATGAGCTTAGAAGAATTCAATCATGAAATAGTGGAAGAAACCTGCTTCTGTCCCCTTTGACATGAGGCCACAGAGAGAACTTAAAACTGACTTCTTTCCCATAGAAGCCAAGCAGGCAGTGTGAGGCTAGAACTTGGTCTAGAAAAGCGTGGGGAGGTTGTCTGGACCTCACATAACTGGGTGCACACTGAGTGGAGCCACTTCTGCCCCGTCGTCTCTCTCACAAAATGGTGGCCAGAGAGCTGGAAACCCAAGGGCTTGAGGGAGTCAGTCCGAGTAGAGGGGGCATTGGCCCAGAATTTTGCCTCCATTTCTTCATCTGGAAAATGAAAGAGTTTCACTAATTATTCATGGGGAGCCCTCCAGCCCTGAACATAGAAAGTCACTGAGAAAAAGTTTCGTAGTCTTTTTAATACTTACAAGGTTATTATTACAACTGAGTTTTCATTTGCTCTGGTATTTGTCTTCAGGAAAGAAACCATGTCTTATCTTATCTGACCAAAGTTAAGAGATCATGTTGAAACGCTCATTAATGTCTTAGTGTTTCTTTGTACTAGTTGCCCAGAAGTAAATACCACAAATTTACGTAAATTCATCTTCCTCTCGATGTTCCTGTCTTCTCCCATTCGTATCCTTGAAGGAAAAAAGCATTCTCGCAGGCCAGATTTAATGTGTTTACAGCCCTTTCTCAGTTTAAAAGTGAGAGAAGTAAATATATTATTTCTGGTATTTTTAGTTAGCCATTGTAGATTATGGTTTGACCTTTGGCCTTTGTCCCGGGACAAAGCCTGGAGAGAAAAGATTCAATGACCCTGGATATTGTTGTTTTATTTTTAGAGTTCTTGATATGAAAACTATTGTTTATCCCTCTGGGTATATGAAAAAAACACAACACTTTAAACAGCAAATTTGTAAAAGCCTGCTTTTACCCCCCTGTTATCGATGCCAGTTTTTCCTCCATTTTGCCTCCTGGATTTGTTCGTCCAATTTGGCTAAAATGGAAAAACCAATATTTTTGCTAAGGGGTATGATGAAGGCTGATAATATACCAGGATTCAGCATACTTACAGAAGATAGAAGCATTTTCTGTCTGCTTCTATTTCCTGAAATTTAACTCCCAATTTTTAAAATGAAGATTGCTCTATCAAACTTACAAACAGTTTCTGGCTGAAATACCAATCTCTGTCCTCCTGCATCTTCTGACAGTTTCTGAAGATGTGTACAAGAACTTCCTGACCTTGGAGCATCTCATCTGTTACAGCTTCCAAGTGGCTAAGGGCATGGAGTTTTTGGCATCACGGAAGGTGAGACAAAGTATCTCTTCACATCACAGATTTGCAAATGAGGTGTCCAGTGCCAGCCATTGGTGTTTGTTTAGGACTGTAATTCATTCACCACTGCTGGAGCACTGTTAAGAGAGCTCTACTGGGGAGGCCCCATTTCTGCTCATTAAAGTGGTGTTAGGAGTTCATGAAATTAATTCATGTGATAAATACCTACTAAATGCAGGCAGTCTTCTGAGCGCTAAGGACACTGTGTGAGCAAATAGGCAAAACTCTCCACCTTCATGGAGATTATGTTCTAGTGGGTGGAACAAACAATATAAACAAGTAAAATGCCTGATAGGCTAGATGGGAGTAAGTACTGTGGAGAAAAATCAGCAGGGAAGAGTTATAGAGTATACAGGAGCGTTATGTTCCTGTGGACATATGCCTCTGTGTTTGTGTACATTGATTTTAAACCAAGGGGACACGGAAGGCTTTAGGGGAATGTGCATTTGAGTAATGGCCTAGAAGAGGTGAGGGGCTGAGCCTTGCAAATATCTTGGCACAAGTCTGTTTTTCATTTCTTTGATATTCATCGCCATCCATCAAAAAGTATTTGGTAGTAGCATAATTAGAAACCAGGAAGGACAGGCTTTAGATGAGAGCGATTGAAAGAGCTAAAATTAGAAAAGTAGGCCAAACAAAGGCTGAGGTGGATACGTGACAAGTTACAAACATTCCAAAGGTTGTAAACACTGTGGAGGCACCCCTCGGAAAGGGTAAAATGGATGGTTTTACATTAAACAAGAAAAATTCAGATTAAGTTTCAGGAAAAATTATCAGTTGACAGAATGCAGTTGCTGCAGCCTACCTGTGGGAGAAAGACTTAAAGTTTTTACTTTGTGTTTTTTTCCTAAATTAGAGTGAAATCCCTCACGCAGGCCTTTTTCTGGAGTTTAAAGCTTGTCACCGCTTTCAGAGCCTCAGGATCTCCGAGGTTTCTGCCCAAGAGCTCTTGTCTTCTCTCTTCCAAGGGGAAGGGAGAGAAGTGGGATCTTAGAGGATTTTTCCAAAGAGAAAGGCCCTTTGCCCTTCTTGAAGATTCTGATTTTATTTTATTATTTTTTAAAGGCCAGAGCCTGCCATTTAGTCAGGGTTCCTTTGATGGGGAAGGGAATGAGGGGTGGAGGGGGATCCTTTTACTTGCCTTGCATCTACCAGCTGAATTTCTTGAATACCACCTGGTTGCTTAATAAAGGAAGCTCTTCGGTTCGGGGCAAAGTAGGAAGGACTGTGTTTTTTGGAGTCTCCTGTCTTGATCAATCACGCCAGGCAATGTGCTTTTAAAAAACAATTTTTTTTAATAGAATTTTTAAAGGTTACACTCCATTTGCAGTTATTACAAAATATTGGCTATATTTCCTGTGTCGTACAATATATCCTTGTGCCTCGTTCAGAGGAAAGCGCTCTACAGATGTGAGGTGTAAGGGGTCCGTAATGCCTGGCTCACACATCACTCCTCCACTGACATAAGCATTCTCATCTAAGCCTTTCATTCATTTCTCAATGTTCCCTGAGACTCTTGTTCTCTTATAAATCTATCAGGTGGAGTTAAAGCTGCTTAGGGTAGGAAGTTACATGAAGGTAGGGGGATACAGAGAAGAGAGAAACTGAGGAACAGAAAAGAATAGAAGGAAAGCCAAGGAGAATTTGCTTTTCCTTTTTCGTGTACCAGAGAATCCCCTTGACTAGTGAGAGGCTGAGGGTGACCTCCACGATAAGCCAGCGCTTTGAAAACAGGGTGAGCCCCACTGGGAATTGTTTCTCAGAGCTTGTCCAGCTTCGGTTACGTATGGAATAGAGAAACCAACAAAGGGCACCAAACCAAGGAGAGCCCCTTGTTTCTGATTTCCGTGCATTCATTCAAAATAAACCCCATTCTAGGGCCTCCTTAGAATAACACGTTTTAACCGTATATGGTGCCAGGCAAAAGGGATGTGTGGATGTGACCAGAAACACATTCTTAATTGTGTCCAAGAGAAGTCTATTTATGACTCCATCAGCATGCTATAACATAACTATTTAATTCCAGAGTCTGGGGCTGTTTATGGAATAAGCAGATGTGTGCCTCAATGAAACTTACAGACTTTTTTCCGGAAGAGTTGATAAAAGATGTTTAACCCAGTGCTTGTTAATCAGTTGGTTTTCTGATGTGGGTTTTTTTTTTTTCTTTCTTTTTTAAAGCATGAGGTCACAACAGATGTGGAAGAGATCAGTTATGTTGAGTCCTAATGCACACGATTCTTTTTGCAGTGTATCCACAGGGACCTGGCAGCGAGAAACATCCTCTTGTCGGAGAAGAATGTGGTTAAAATCTGTGACTTTGGCTTGGCCCGGGATATTTATAAAGACCCAGATTATGTCAGAAAAGGAGATGTAAGTTTCAGAGATGCACCCAGTGATCTGTTAAGTTGCAGAATTCAAACTCCTCTCAGCAAGCCTCAGGACCTGTGTCCAGGGACAATGGAAGCTTTTCCTTCAGATATTCGATAAGTAGGGTTCTCATTCCTTGTCTTCTACCCCTGTAGGCTCGCCTCCCTTTGAAATGGATGGCCCCGGAAACAATTTTTGACAGAGTGTACACAATTCAGAGTGACGTGTGGTCTTTTGGTGTCCTGCTCTGGGAAATATTTTCCTTAGGTAAGTCCCTTCTCTTTGTCTCTCCATCCATACTCCAAATAAAATGATAAAAGTCAGTGACCCCAGTGCACCTTTCCCTCTCCTGTATTCCACCTTTATCGGATGAAACTTACTTGGAAGCTTCGGGTTGTAAAACCTAAAAAAGCAAAGAAAGGAAGAAAGGAAGAAAAGATGTATATGTGAAGAAGGTGTTGAAGAATCAGGCTCAGGGCTTTCTGCAAGAGAAAATCAAATCAATAAGGCACCATTCCTCAGGACAGGAATAAAGACGCTGACGTAGAGTGGACTTGAGGACACGGGGAGGGGGAAGGGTGAGCTGGGACGAAGTGAGAGAGTGGCATGCACATATATACACTACCAAATGTAAAATAGATAGCTAGTGGGAAGCAGCCGCACAGCACAGGGAGATCAGCTTGGTGCTTTGTGACCACCTAGAGGGATGGGATAGGGAGGGTGGGAGGGAGGTGCAAGAGGGAGGAGATGTGGAAACATATGTATATGTATAGCTGATTCACTTTGTTATACAGCAGAAACTAACACAACATTGTAAAGCAATTATACTACAATAAAGATGTTAAAAAGAAATAATAATGCCCCATTCCTGTTTTATTCTAGGTGCTTCTCCATATCCTGGAGTAAAGATTGATGAGGAATTTTGTAGGAGATTGAAAGAAGGAACTAGAATGAGAGCTCCTGATTATACCACACCCGAAATGTAAGACTTTACAAGTATTTCTCTATCCTCCTTTGCTCACAAAAATTCTCCCTGCCTAGAAGACTTTCCATTATAGGTACCTCCTTCATGGCCCAGTTTGTACTTCTCCCTTGAAGTCTTCCTTGATAATCTTAAGCACAGAGTCATCCTTCTTGAAATGACAGCACTTTATCTATACCAACCAGTCAGTTTTTACTAGATGTTGATTTATGATGTTTCCTTTTCGATACACACTTGATGCTCCAAGCGTAGGGTTCTGTGTTTTACGTAGTTTCGTATCCCTCTTTAGCATCTTGGCTCATGGTGGACTCTTTATAAATATTTACTCATTCAAGTGCTTATTGTCAGCATCAGATCAGGAGGAAAGAGGCGGTTAATGACATCAGTGTTTTGCTTCTCTAGGTACCAGACCATGCTTGACTGCTGGCATGGGGAGCCCAATCAGAGACCCACGTTTTCAGAGCTGGTGGAACATTTGGGAAATCTGTTACAAGCGAATGCTCAGCAGGTTTGTGACCTCCATCCAAGAAGCTTCTACAGAGAGTACTTAGGTGTCCAGGGCTCGTCTGCTGCCTAGGCCTTCTCATGGCCACCATACTGTCCTCTCAGCCACTGAATCCAAGGAGCCATATTCTTCCAGATCTGAGCAGTAATGCTTTTCTAAAAGTCATAATTACCTTTTTGACAGATGAGATCCTAATTCATAACCTGGGAGCTGATCACTTTTATTTTTACTGATGTATATTGTGGTGTCTTCAGAGGCTCTTATAAAGTAAAAAAGCAAACAAACAACAAACAAAACTAAAAAACAAAAAAAACCCAAAACCTAGTTGATCAAGTGAATATCAACAGTGGACAGAATTTCAAGGAATTTTAAATACATTCTTCAAGCAAAAACACATCTGAACCCTGCAAAATTGATGGGTTTTTTTTCCCTCTGTAAAATCCCAGGCCCTCATAACTTCCATTGGAGGATTTTAGACTTGTAGCCTTTACTGTTAGAAAGTTACTTAATCTCCAGTCAACACCTCTTACTACAGTGAATGGAAGTCAATTTCCTCCTGATTTTCTTTTGAACAGGTGGTGGACAATGGGTCAAATCTATTTTTATCGATAAACCTTCCAAACATTTAGAGGTATCAAACTGCCCTTTATTTCTGTATCAAATTGCCCTTTATTTCTTTCTCTTGATGAAATAATGTTAAGTTCTGCAACCTTTTCTCAGTAGACCCATTTTCCTGAACACTTACTGCTTTTCTTTAGACTGTCATCAGTTTTTCCATTGCCTTGAAGCATAGACACTAAAATTGGATGACATGCCCTTTAAAGGACCCAGCTCGTGTAGATAGGACTATGTGAAGAAACGATTTCTCAGCTTTGTGGAGCTCTGCCTGTTCTGTTGTTCCATCTGTAACCACAACCCGTTTTGTCTTCATTGTAGCCATAGTGCTCTGTGGTCCCCTTACTCATCTTGTTTTTTGTTAGATCCTTTAATATACTTTCATCTACACATCACTTTTGAGTGCCCTTTTGTTTTTGACAAGTCATTTTTAAAGTTGTCTTAAAGTTTTACATTCAGATATGAAAGCCACATTCCCCATAAACAAGAAGCCCCAGTGGCCTTTGTTTTTCATAGAAAGGCTCTTGAAGGACTGAAGCCATAACAATAGCACTCTGTGTTTATTGTTTCAGGATGGCAAAGACTACATTGTTCTTCCCATATCAGAGACTTTGAGCATGGAAGAGGATTCGGGACTCTCTCTGCCTACGTCACCTGTTTCCTGTATGGAGGAAGAGGAAGTGTGTGACCCCAAATTCCATTATGACAACACAGCAGGAATCAGGTACGGTCTAAGGTCAACATCCCCTGGGGGAGGGAGCTTCAAGGTCATCTTAGGGAAGGGGATGGAGGAAGGACATCGTATAAAGTTGCTGCATTTCACTTGCACATTCACCCTTTGCCCTGAGAGGTCCTCCTTGAAGAGCGCCTGGGTAGGTGAGTCTCTTTCCATCTGTGGTCCACATTGCTGCCTAAGCTCTTCATTTCAGAATTCTAAGCCCTGCAGCTGCAAATAGCTGGAATGCCACAGTTTGTTAATCTCCAGAAAAAGAGACCAGTTTTACAAAGACATCTGTATTTAAATTATCCCCATGTACTCTTTTATTAATGTGAGTTATATGGCTTAGGAAAGATTCAGGAAGGAAGAGTTCTATGCATTTATGAAAACAGACCTTTGCCTCTCTGGCTGGGATACAGTGTGCCATGGGGACGCGTCCTGAGTTTGACTGGGCAGCACAACTTCAGAAGCCCATCCCAAGTCTGATTTTCAGCATTTTATTTGCATAATGGGACTTCTGGGCTTATTTAAAACACATGCACTGCCGTATTTTCCTGATTTGTAGAGGGGTCCTAAAGGCAGCTTTCTTTTTGTTCCCTCCCAGCACCTGTGCATAAGGAAAGAGTTGGTATGGTTTCTACAATATGATATTAAAATTGCCTTTTACTAAGCCTGGGACTACTTCACTTTGCTTTGTCTTGGGTGTTTTCCTCCTGTAACCAGACCCCTGGCAGCATGAGCCCAGCCTGCCCCCTTGAGTGTGCTGTGGCAGCAGGGGGGACCACGGAGTGCTAGCCTTTGGCCGGGTTGCCAGATGGCAGGTGGGGAGTCACGCAGGACAGTTTGCCCCGTGGACTCGCACAGGGAGGGCAGCAGGAACGCTGCCGTGGGAGAGAAGAAAGCTCAGAGTGGGAAGAAGCCAACTCGTAAGCTGTCCATTCCATTTGTGTCAAGAACTTTCAGCATTTTTCAAAGAACTTTTTCTTACCAGATTTTGCCAAAGTTAGGCAAGGTAGATACTGTTATCTTTTGATGTAGATGTTGAACGTGAGTGTCAGAGCAGTTACCTGGGGAGAATACAATATTGTGGTTAAAGATCCAGATTTTAGAGTCACATGGAACTGGGTTGGATTCCCAAGTCTGCCCTTCGCAGCTGTGACCTGGGGCAAATTTTCACCGCGACCCAGGCAAGGACACTGGTGTTGTACAAAAATGATGACTTTGAGAATTACATGGTATAATGAGTTTCTAAGTGCCTGGCACCTAGAGAACACTCAATAAATGATAGCAATTAAGTGAGCTGGTTAAAATCACATGGGATGAATCCAGTTCCTCTGATATCTAACTCAGGGCTGTTTTCTCCCATACCAAGGAGGGGGCCTCAAAGAGAAAGAGGAATGAAATGAAAACCTATAGTTCCACCCCAACGTTTAAAAAGTCCTCGTTCAAGTTCAGCTGGCCTTCTGGTGTGGTAATTATTCCCGAAACACTGTTGCCTTCTGTGTTATCAGAAATCCATTTGATGGTGAGCTGTGTTCCTTGGGTTCTTCCGTGACCAGGTGGGGCGAGGACCCAAGCCGGCAGCCTCTTGGCTTACTCAGGAGCTTTGCGTGTGGTGCCGAGAGTCAATGAAGTCACATATGTGTAAGGGAAGTGCCAAATGCGATGCTGGATCTGAAACAGGGCTGCCAACATGTATCCCCAGAGGCGTGGACAAATGTGACACCACACTCCCAACACAGGCCTGGCTCCTATTTTCTGTCTGTGATTTTTGAATTGGCCTTTCCAGTCCAGTTTCCCTTTTATCCAGCTGTAATTTGAAAACTAAAATGGAAATTGGAATCTTTTGTCTGCATCCCCACTCGACCCCCTCCACCTTTTTGCCTTTACTAAAACTAAGGCACCACGCTCACATTTTAATCGTCTGGGTTAAAGGAGAGGCAGAATCGAGGCATCTGCACGCAGCACATTTCAGTTGGATGCTCTCTTGTGTTCTGCTTCCCTGGGGAAGAGGAAGTGAGGCTGGGGTGCCTCTCAAGGGACTTGTGCCCTTATCTTCCACGTTGCCAGTCAAGGAGAAGAGCCAAGGAGTCTTTCTCGCTTGCTTCTTCATAATTTTCAATTTCATTGCATTATGAATAGAGCTGGACAGAGACATCCCCGTGGGAGCCAACCTCCTGATTTTTTGCCCCTTTAAACTATTTTTAAAATATTTGTTCAGCATTTATTTAGAGAAGGGGCTGAGAGATATGTGGGGGAAGGGTGAGGAGGAAGGACCACTAGTGTCTAGACTTAGGTTTGTCTCTAATTTCCCCTGTGGATCAGCTCTGGCCCCAAGTCTGCATGCTTCCTGCAAGAAAACACATCTTAATTGGACTCATCATTCTTGGAGGACAGTTTGGGGACCATCTGCGGTTGCCCCACCAATTCCCCTGGGAGTTTCGTCTCCCACTCCAAGCAGCTTATCAAAGATTTCTTTTCAATTCTCTCCCAGGGAAAGGTTCTGGCACATAGCTTTTTTTTTTTTTTTCATTTTCGTTAATTGCTAGCGATGATTTAAATGCTCCTTGTAGGTTGATGCCTGGGACAGCCTGCTGGCTAGATTTTCCTGAATTTGGCTCTGATGTTAGACTGCTTGAAATGAAACTGTCCTTTCTGCACCTTTTGTCTATCTTTTTTTTTTTTTAACATCTTTATTGGAGTATAATTGCTTTACAGTGGTGCGTTCGTTTCTGCCGTATAACAAAGTGAATCAGCTATACATGTACATATATCCCCATATCCCCTCCCTCTTGCATCTCCCTCCCTCCCACCCTCACTATCCCCCCTCCCCCACCCCCCCACCCCTGCCCCACCGCATGGTCGGTGCACACATGGGAGAGAGCAGGGCTGTGTGCATACTAGGTGCTCAGTAAAGACTTGGACAATCTTTACTTCACTGCTATCTTCTTCCTTCTCCTTCCTAGTGCTTTTCCAAGGGCGTCAATGTGGAATAAGGTAAAAACAAACAAAAACAACCCTGCATGGGCTCTAGAAACCTAAGTTTGAGCCCCAGTTCTAGCTCTTTCCTCCCTAAGCCTTAGCAAATAGGAAATAATGAAAACCTATTTTGTAGTTTTATGAAGAGCAGATGCAATGATGTCCATGAAAATGCCTTGTCAACTGTGAAGGGCCGAGCAATGTTTATTATTATTGGGCTCAGCAATCAAGGAGCTGGCCTTTCTAAGGCAGCTGCATTACAGCCCAAATACCTCTGGAATCTGTCCACAGACCGTGTGGGCATCACCTTTCTTTAGTCAGGCTGCTCTTCTTTCTCCTAGATAATTGGAACAGCCTCCTGATTGGCCTCATGGCCTCTGGCCTTACCCTCCTCAACCCAGAGTCATCTTTCTAAAGGGCATATCTGACTTTGTCAATCTCATGCTTAAAATCCTTCAGTGACTGCTCATTGCCCTCAAGATAATAATCCAGATTTTCCAGTTATGTGATTTTGGACAAGTTCCTTAACCTTTTTGTGTCTTAGTTCCTCATCTGAAGTTGGGATAATGATACCCACCTAGAGAGGTACCGTTTGTGGAGATGCCATGAGACAGTGGTTGAGGAGCATTTAGCACAGAGCCTGGCACGTGGGAGAGTCTCAATAAAGGATTCCTGAATGAGTGAATGAATGAATGAATGACTATGGTACCAGTAATTTTTGGTAACCACTACTTTTAGGGACTGGACTTAGGAGAAGTAGGCTTTTCTCTCTCCTTTATGTTATGTCCTCTTTCCTGTGGAGTTTCCTGAGTGAGGATGTAATTGGTGAACCCCATTCTCTCTTCTTTGTAAGAGGAGGAACCAGCCTCCTGGGGCAGGGGACGGAGATTTAGTTTCCATTATCCTTCTTTGCCCAAATGAGTCCTCTCTTCACTTGATCACAGAAAACACACGGAATATATAATATATCCAGAAGGCCATCTAAAGTGGGAAGTATGCTGGGATAAGAGTGAAGAGTGAATTTGCTGTCCCTTCCCATGAAAAGGACTTTCCTTCTCTCCACTTGGGCTGGTTTTAACAGAAAATCAGACTCACCCAAAGTCACATAGTAGGGAAGGAACACCCTTAGGGAACAGGTGATGTGTTGTTGTGATGTGACAAGTCCTATCCTTTGGACTCCTGAAAGAAACGTGTACCCTTTGGAATTCAAAGGAGGAAAACAAGCTTTGGTTGATGGTGCATCATTCTTTCTAAGACCCCCTTATCAACCACCAGTGATCACCTCATTCATCCTCCAGGTATCTTTGTGAGTGAGGAAAGGAAAGCTCTTGCCAGTACATTTTAAAGATGGAGCAATAGGGGCACAGAAATGTATCTGTGACTTTCCCAAGTCTGTGTAGTTCGTGGTAGATTTTGAAATAGATGGAATACCTTGTGACTCTCGAACTACACCCCCAACTCTGTGGGCTAACAATAGGAGATTCAGCCCACCTGCCCCTGTACCCATTGCGCCTCTATTACACGTAGAAGAAGATTGTCTCCAGACCTTGCTGGGTTCAGCATCCTTTACTGGAGCCGGGTGAGATTCAGTGAGATCTGCAGGTGTTTCCTCTGCCCATCTTTCATTGACTGGTTGTTCTGTGGGCCTTGTCTAGAAAACTTGCTTAGGAGATGGCCAGAAAGATGTGAAACACTCAGTAATATGCCGAGAGCTCAGTGGAGGAATCACAGGCAATCAGGAAGCCAAGCAGAAGGCAGCTGACCACTGAGTCTGCTGTTGTTGTCTTCAGTCCAGCCCTGGACCTCAGAAGTACGATTCAAAGGAAAAGGGGCTCATCTATGCCCCCTCAGTTATATTATACTTTTAAATGGACTTTCACAGGAAATTAAGCCTTCAGTGTGTGCTAGCAGAGAAAGATTTTTGTTTTGTTTTTCTTTTTCCAAAGGATGTTTGAAGGTCGCTATTAAACTTGCGGTTGAAAGATAATGAACTTAGGTATCACTTGTGGAACCTGCAGCCAAATATACCACCACTAAAATATAAATATTTGTTCTTTTGCAGTCAGTATCTGCAGAACAGTAAGCGAAAGAGCCGGCCTGTCAGTGTAAAAACATTTGAAGATATCCCGTTGGAAGAACCAGAAGTAAAAGTAATCCCAGATGTAAGCACATCTTTTAAAAATAGTCTTAGAAATAATACCAAAGGTGAAACATTAGCTAGATAAATATTAACCTAAGCATTAGAGACTTGAAGCCTCATTATAAGGCTGTCCTTGAGGGTATGTGTGATGGGGTCATTACAGCAGTGGAACTTACTGGGCGCCCTTGGTTTTTCCATATGCAAAGCCCCTGGTCTAAGGTTCAAGACAATCCAGCTTCATGCCCAATTCCCCTCAAGCGAACATAGCATCATTGTGAAAGAGGGATAGAAACGGGTCTCCTCGGCTTCTTCTTCCTAAATTTCTCTCTTCTTCCAGGCCTGCATCTATTTCTTGGAAGCAGTTACTTCCTTTTATAGCCTGCATGGTTTCTGGCTATGCTACCTTTACCTGCCTCTGCAGAACGTGGGAATGTTGTCTGATAGGTGGGTTAGGAAATCAGTTTAATTAAGTAATTGTTCAGTGTACACAATCAACTGTCCCATCTCATTGTCTCTTAAAAAGGACAACCAGACGGACAGTGGTATGGTTCTTGCATCCGAAGAGCTGAAAACCTTGGAAGACAGAAGCAAATTAGCCCCATCTTTTAGGTAAGGCTCAGCCAAAATAGAAGGACAAATTTCAACAGGAACTTTTGGAAGGAACCTAGGACTTTGAGCGTAGGTGCAGAGTTTTCCCTTTTTGTGTCTTCGTTGGTTGGGCAAATTTGCATCAACCTAACTAATAAAGAATGGAAACAAATCAAACTAATTACCTGGCAAGTCTAAAAAAGAATCTGAAATAAGAGGATTTGGTCAGTTTTCATGAGAATTTATGAATACTAGGGGATTTTTTGAGCGTATTTACTGTGGTCAGTGGTTTGTGTGGTACTGGCTAAGTAAAACAGAGGTCATTGGATGTAATCCTTAAAACTATGGAGATAGTTAAAATCTTTGTGCACTCTACCCTGAAGGATTTTCAAACTTGAACAGAAACGGGTACACCTGTCTTTATGAAATATAATGTATAAAGAAGCCATTATCTATTTGCGTAAGATACTTAAATATTTTTGGCTGAATTATTAAGTACTTAATTGTGGGAAAAATGCTGAATTTGGTTTTGAATATTTCTTCCATGTGATTCTGTAGGAATTCGTAGCTGTTTTGAGTAGATATACCTGCTTTTAACTTAACAAGTAAATAAGATTCTGTATTTATAAGAATATTGGGATTCAGAGTAGTTATTTATTTGCTAGCAGGTTCACTCTAGGTGAGAATAGAGAAGACTTTGATCTACTTATAATCGAACTGTTGGATAAAATGGGACCACCCTTGGTACCGAGTGATGCTCATGTAAAACAAACAAACAGACAAACAAAAAACCCATTAAAATGTGCCATTGTGTCATTTCATTGTCTGCCATAGGCCCAGGATGAGAGACTGTGAGAGCCAATCATATGTTTCATTCACTGATTCAAATATATTTGTTCAGCAATGAATAGGTACCATGCCATTGTCTGAGACACTAAGCTCATTTTACTGAGGATGGATTGAAAGAAAAAATGTATATCTAGTCATTTGAAATAACTTTTAAACCATATATGAACACGGAGTTAATAAAATCCTTTTTTTGCAGTTTTTAACATGAATAGCTTGGTAAAACACCTACTAAGGGGGCAAAAAAAACCCCACACTTCAGAATGGCTTAAGCTCCACACAGCCTACACCAAGCTACAGAAAGCCTTTTTAAGCTTTTTTTCTAAGCTTGGACATGATTACCGTCTGTCACGATTCCACCGTCCTTCCAAAGAATGTGGTTTTGATGAGTAAAAAGCACTTTTTGACACGTCTGGCTTGATTGTACACACACGCTTCGACTTACTAAAGTTTAAAGTTGCACAAGAACTTTATTAACACCACCCACGGGCCTTGTAATCCCTTACTTGACAGGGTGGTGCAAGCACTAGTGGACTTTCAGAGCATCCCAGTTTCGCTCCACATCCTGAAAGAGTCCCTTTGGCTCCTATCCTTGTATACAAACTTGTCAATCTGCAAGGCCATAAAAAGGTTCCACTGGTTGGAGCCTTCACATAACTCAGGAGAACTGCCTTTTATCTCATCTCAGGCTTGAAAGACTTGGACCTGAATAAGACGACTTATCTGAAACTCCAAATTCACGCGAGTACCTGAAAATAGACATTGTCTGAGTGAGGCTGCTATGTTGATGAACAAGTGGGAGGGAGAGGGACTGGTGTCTCCAGGAAGATGCCAGCCCACACGGGGTTGGGAACGGGGTTAGGATAAGATGCAAAAGGACTCCCTTCTCTCTGCCGACTCATTTGGTTGCCATCTCTCCTGCAGTGGAATGATGCCCAGCAAAAGCAAGGAGTCTGTGGCATCTGAAGGCTCAAACCAGACGAGCGGCTACCAGTCGGGGTATCACTCCGATGACACGGACACCACTGTGTACTCCAGCGAGGAGGCGGAACTTTTAAAGCTGGTAGAGATTGGACCGCAAGCTGGCAGTGCAGCTCAGATTCCCCAGCCTGACACTGGGATCACACTGAGCTCCCCTCCTGTTTAAAAGGGGGCACCCACGTCCCCCAGTCCTGGAAATCACATGAGAGGTGCTGCTCAGATTTTCAAGTGTTGTTCTTTCCACCACCAGAAAGTAGCCACATTTGATTTTCATTTCAAAAGCAAGGACCTCGGACTGCAGGGAGGCAGTCCTCTAGGCATTTCCTGAGAAGATGCTTGTGACCCAAGAATGTGTTTGTGTCTTCTCCCGGTGTTGACCTTATTCTTTTTAACATTCATTTAAAAAGCATGTCTGATGCCCCCTAATGTGGGTCACCCCAGGGGTTACAGCAAAAGAAGTTCACGAAATGGCTTCATCCTCCAAGAAGTAGCAGTACCGGGGGAGCTGACACCTCTGTAAAACTAGAAGATAAACCAGGCAATGGAAGTGCTTTAGGTGTTGAAGATGGGAAAGACCTTTAGGGCTGAGTCCATCTAAGAAGCTTTGTTTAGGAGATGGGTCCTGAGCCAAGTCTTATGTGTGGGGAATGGATTGATGGAAAGGAAGATGCTGGCTTGCTTTGAGGATGCACTGGAGCCTGCACGTGCATTGCGTTGGCTCCGGTGGAGGTGGACATAGGGTCTGTTAGGAAACGTAAAGGCTTCGTACGAGGTGACTGGTTTTAGAAGGTTGCGTGCTCTTCCCATTTGGGCTAAATGAGAGTTCCTTGTGCTGTTTCCGACTCCTAATGAGAGTTCCTTCCGGACTCTTACGTGTCTCCTGGCCAAGCCCCAGGAAGGAAATGATGCAGCTCTGGCTCCTTGTCTCCCAGGCTGATCCTTTATTCAGGACACCACAAAGAAAGGACACTCAGCCTCTCTGTCGTATCGAAGATTTCTGACTGTGTAAACCAGCTTCTGGTTTCTTCTGGATGAATACCGACATGTCTGTCCTGATGTGATATGTCTGAGCCTGAATGCAGTAGATTCAATATCAAGCTGTGGTGTCAAAGCTTCAGGAAGACTATTACTCTCTTGTTCCTTCTCCCCCTCTCCATGCCTTCCCCCTCCCTTCAGTGTTTTCCTGACCTCCCAGCCAGCCAGTATTCTAGTAATTTGGCCTCTACACCCTAGTAAGAGCTGATTTGGTTTGTTCACGCTCAGTAATTATTAGCCGGATTTCAAAATTACTTTGTAGCCAAAGTTATAACAACTCTTGTATTACTTAGACTTTTAACATGTAAAGCTCTTCCTGCTGGTTTCTGCCCTTGTTCTTTCCTTTCTAAAAAAGAAAATGTATTTTTCGTTTGGTACCATAGTGTGAGATGCTGGGAACCATGACTATAAAACATGCTGTGGCACATATATTTATAGTCTGTTTATGTAGAAACAAATGTAATATATTAAAACCTTATATTATATATAATGAACTTTGTACTATCACATTTTGTATCAGTATTATGTAGCATAACAAAGGTCATAAAGCTTTTAGCAATTGATGCCATTTTATTAAAAAAAAAAGTGAAAAACTTGAAGTAATCCCTTCGCAAGGTTGTATCACTGTACCTATCATTTCTCTCACTTCTAGAATGGAGGAGGGGGACTCAGACATCATTTCCATATGGCTGTTTTTTATTTTCACTTGTTCCCTTATTCTTCTTATGAAGGATATCTTCATTAAATGTTTATATACTTTTTAAACCAATAAATGTATTCTTAGTAAAAAAAAAAAATACAATGGTATAATACTATCACAGCTGTTTCGAGGGTAAATATTTCTGGCTTAAATGCTTCTCCCCCTCCTTCGTTACACAAATAATTCACACACACATGCACTCTTGTTAAATTCCAAGCACTTCTGAGATTCTTAAAACATGGACTGAGAGATACCTGATAAATACTCCAACAGTATTTGTGGCTCGCTAGTAACCCCTGTGCCTGTTAGAACAGCCAACCGTGAAAATCATGGGGCGAGAGATCCCGAGACAGGTGGCCAGACCTGGCAGTGCAGGGAAGCATGGAACGTATCTATAGTTTTCAATAATGCTTTACTCTATCCTTGCAGTGTCAGAACCTCAGATCCAACATTGCCATTTTAAATGATTGCTTTTGCCTGAATTCAGTGAGTGGAATTATCCAAAGATCATTGGCACCAAAGTGTGGTCCTACTCTTTCTTCGTGGGATTTTTTTTTATACAAGATTTTGAAACGTTTATATAATCAAAAGATACGCCTATTATTTTTTTTAATGTCTTCTAGGTTTTTTAATCATATTGATGAAGGTCTTCCCAATTCTAAAATAATGCAAAATCCTAAATTGCCTTCCTTCTTTTATTACATTTAAATCCATTTGGGATTTATTTTTGTATATGGAGTGAGGTAAGGACCTGGCTTTGTTTTCTTCAAGCGGCTGTCCATCATGGCAGCATTGTTTATTAAATATACCTCTTTTCCCCTGTGCTTGGGGAAATACACACTGTACCATTTTTCAAACCCTATCATCTCAACTGAGATATTCTGCACAACTTCATGATGGAAAAGAGGGCAGCTCCGGGTGTGTGTGGTTCCTGGGCACTGCACTTACAGATTGGGCCATTGGCTGGAGTTAGTGGAGTAGGGTCTTCTGACAGATGTTAAACTGTAGGTCACGCCTGGTCTTGTCTTTCCCATTGTTACAGTGTTGTCCAGTAAATGAATGGCAGAAGAATCTAGGTTATTCAAGATGGAGAAGACCTCATAGACAAACGGAATTTTCTTCATTTTAGGAAAAAGAGATTTTGTTTCTCATAAGCGGCCCCTGGCACTGTTTCCAATGCCAGGAAATTGGATTCATTTGAAACTTCACACTTCATAAAGAAATGCTTTCAGCACCTCAGGCAGAATAATTAGGAGGTGAGGTTTGGCCCTCTCCTTCTTCTCTTTTCTGTTTTCCACACCCCTTGTTCTTAGCTCCTTTTCTCTCCTCATTTGCCCCTGTATTGAAGAGAATGTTGTAGCTTTTTAAAGTGCTTCTTGCACGGTCTTATTTTCAAGGCTTTCACTGAAGGTATTTGGTGTTTTAGGTGAGGCCAACTGTCTCCCCCTGGCTCCTGACCTCTCTCATTCTCTCCTTTGGCTTGCTTTGTTCTTCTCCCTCTTCTCAAACCCCTTTGTCTCTTCTCCTTCTGTTTCTCTCTTTCCACTAAACTTCCTTTCCTGTGAACCCTCTCCCCAGCAGCCTTTCTCCTCAACCACATCACAGGAGAGAGGAGAGTGGTGGGAAGTTTAAGTTCATTACCCCTGGACTAACTATTCCTATCAATGTCTGTCTCAATGAAAGAAGAAAAGTAAAAATCTCAAATCCACAACTTTGTAGTTAACCCATTTTCCTGTCTCCCCTAGTATGTCTTTCTTTCTACCTGTCACTCAGATATTCGTCACCCACATGGTAAAATGTAGGCAAACCCGGAAAGCTTAAGCCTTTCAGTGAGTAGCTCTTGATATAAATCTTTCCACATTTGTGTGCCCTTGTCCCTTAGGGATAGTAGGCATGTCATGCCCATGCTTTCAGGTAAGGAGTGAGCACAGATCAAAGGGGGTTCCAATCTGTTTTTATAAAATTGCATTTTCTCCATGAGTCTCTCCCACGTAAGGGTTTAGGCATAAGTGGAAATCTGGGCAGTCTTTGTGAAACCAATATTAAATCTGATTTTGGAGGGGGAAAGTTACAGAATGCTCCTAGGTGGTAGAGGTTAAAAAGGTAAAATAAAGCCATTTGCTCTAGTTTTGATCAGAATGGAGAGAATTACAAGAATCTGGGAGGAGCAACTCAGAGAGAAATGTAAGTTGGCCTGAAGTTCTGGAGCTAAAGTGGTAGAACATACCAGGCTCAGCTGAGGTCTGACTCAGAGATAAGAGCTCTGAGTTAGGAAAAAAGTATTCTAAGGAAGACTATTGATAAGACAAGGATTGCAGTAAACTATGACAGATACGTGACGAGTGGACGTTAATGAGAAGACATCAAACTGTATCTTAGATTTTATTTTCTTTACAACACAGCATATGACCTTTATGTGACTTGATACCTGTAGAACAACATTACATTCAATAGTTTCACTCATAGTTTTTGGTTTAAAGATAAAAGAATGAAAACATATGGTTTGGTTTTTTTACGTTAGTCTCACCTTTTGTTTATTCTGAGTGCTTTAGAACCTATGATCAGTGTACTTACCAGTAACTGGTGACAGCATACCCCCATACTATACTCTAATTGCTAGAAGCTCTCAACTTTTAGATACACTGGAATCGAAAAAGGGCGGGGAATAAGAAAGCGGTCCTTCGCTCCAGTTGTATTCCATTCTTTGCTCTCTGTCCTCTCCCTTCTTCAGGGAGTGACGTTTGTGGGGGGCAGAGAGTGTGGAATAAGTCCAGGAAAGTGGGTTGAGTTCTTCGGTGTGAAGGATACTCTCAGTGGCTGACTCTGATCCCGTGTGTACTTCACAGGATATGGGGTAAGAAATGACTCATCAAGAGCCCTCTGAACCATTGTTATGGGGAGAGGTTTCATGGGAGCCTGGTGCTTTGCACGGAATCTCTTTAAGCTGAATGTCTTATCCTGATAAAGGGGATCGAAAACATTCCGTTCATTGCCACAGAGAGAACAGAAATGGAAATGAAAACCCAGACGCAAAGTAGAGAATTCAGGCTGGTGACATAGTGAGCAGCAACATTCCACATTCATCCCCCAAGGTAACAAGAAAACTGGCAGACAGGAATCCTGCAGCACATAGTGGGGAAAAACAAGGCCCTCCAGAGAAATCAGGTACCAAAGATTCAGCCCTTAATACTAAACTTTAAGCAAGTAATATTTATTTGTTTGTTTATATTTAACTGTACTTTAAAAATGCTACATTGTGCCAGACACTCTTTTGAAAAGAGTTTATTAATATTAACTCATTGAATTAATCGGGACCCTAAAGCAAAATGTAGGCATCACACTGTAGATAGGGTGGCCATCTCCTCCTTTTACGTAGGAGACATAAAGGGATCCTCACTGATGGTTTCTACAAATGTTTGTTAGGCATTTACTATGTGCCAGGCACCTCAGCAGACAGTGGTCAAAACCGTTTTCTTTGGCTGCTTGGGTTACAGGTTATCAGCAGAACCCTAGAGAGGAGGAACTCCAATCTTATTCCGGAACTCTCTACATATCCTTATGGTACCCCTTTAACAAATTGAGCGTAGTTCTGATTATTGGCTCATTCTTCATTCAGTCATTTTTGAATAAAGATCTGAGTTCAAGAACCCTTCTAGGTATAGATTCCACGCTTAACCTGACTTCAGAGTCAGGATGCTCATGGGAAAAACCAGAAAAGAAGCCTTCTGACAGAAGGCTGAGGAAATGCTTTTCTTGGTCTGGTTCACCTCACCTTGAAGAATTTGCATTTCACTTGTAAAGCAAGAGGAGATTCTGTTAATGCATCCAGAAGAATTCCATGTTGGCAGGCATTTATGGCAACACAGAAGGAATCTTTTGTTTTGTCATAAGTAACATTGTTTGACCTTTATACTACTGTTCTACATTTTAAACTTTTCCAGTGGATGAAAATCCAAAGTACGGAAAGAATAAATTCCACCATTGCCATTAGTTTTACTAGGAATTCTTCAGTAGGGATTGTTCTAAGTGTATACTGACTTCCCCTTGGGTATTTCAAAATATTATCAAGTAGCATGCAACATTTCATGAATACATCTGTTTTACAAATCAAAGTGTACTCCTGTATAAACCACCTTGAGAATCTTTTAAGCAGCATATACTTGAAGTCAATAGAAACAGAATTTTCTTTTAGTTCAATCACCATGAATAGATCATGATCTATTGCTGTGCCTTTTCCCCCTGCTCCTGTCTAATATGGTTGGCAGATTGCCTTGAGGACCTGTCATGAAGAGAAAAAAAGATCCTCATTCTTCCTTTATCAACCTCATTCATCAGTAAATTTCAGTGTTCTGCCCAGCTTTCGTTCTTGTAGTCTTTTGCAGTGCAGGAGAGCTTATTCCTTCTCTGACTGATGAACAAGACAAGAGGATGTCGTGCCAGAAACTATTCCTGAGTCCAATCTTACAGAATTACTTAGTAATGTTCACTTTAAAAAGAAGTACCAATAAGTATTAATTTTGGATGACATATATATTAGAACAAGTTTAGTCGTGGTAATAGAATTTTTAGATAGATATATATCATGGATTCAACTTTCATTATGTTTCTCTGTTTCATGGTGATAGACATTTCAAGTAGCTCTGCAGTCACTCAGACCTGAGTAGCCTGAAGGACAGAGAAATAACCTTGATTGTTGATCGTCTGCCATATGCCAGGCATTGAGCTATGCACTCCTCACATTTTACCTCAGTAAATCCTTGTAATGGGCCCTCGTGTTAGGTGCTATTATCACCAGGTTCCAAGTGAAGACTGGCAGTTAAAATTTGAAGCCCCGGTAAGCAAGGTTATGCAGGGATTGAATCCAGTCTACTTATACCTTGGGGACATGTTCCTATTTGGGATGGGAACCAGAATGGGATCCTCTCTCCTGATGGAAGGCAGTGAGCTGACTCATCTAATAAATCAACCAACCAAATAAAAGGTACATATGAAGGTGACCTGGTACCTTTAAGTGTCTTAGTTAATATATGTTGGCTTAAATATTTCCATCTTTCAGGCAGCTTTATCTACAAGCTAAATCCACTTTGACTAAATGTAAAAGTTTAGTGTTACAATAAACATCTGATTTCCAGAGGGAAGAAAGTGTGTTACTTACTCGCTGTATGGTCTTGAGCACGTTACTTAACCTCTTTGAGCCTTCTTTTCCTTAGCTGGATAAGAATTAAATGAGATACGTATGTAAAATACCCACCATACTACCTGATAAGTGGAAAGTATTCAATAAAGGTAGCTATTTTCTTATGCTGCTGGGGATAGGGAAGTTAGGTTTATAGCTTGTTGAATGATAGTTCTCAAAGATTGTTAATTAACTTACCATTGACAAACTGGTTGGAGGTCTCCAATGGTACTTTCTGCTGTCCCTGGTTCCCTAGGTTTGAAGTCTGGCATAAGGACTCAGCATGAAGAACAAATTGCTGGATGACAAGCGCCTGGGAAGATTGCAGTGTGATAGAGTCAGGATTCAGTAAAAGCTCACTGGTCAGTGACTCAAATAACTTAATTCAGTTTTTCTGCACAAATTTTGGGATGGGGCACCATGGCTTAGCAATAACTTTAAATTGGTTAACAAGTATCAGTTTGCCAAAAATCGGCTAGACAGTGGCCAATTTGCTAAAAATCAGTTTGTCAGATGACCGGTTTGCCCAATGATGAGCTCATCAAATTAAACTTGTCAATAAACACCAAACTTTTAAGAATTACCTATAAGGTTTACAGCCATTTGTAGTGAAGATTTCTGTGAAGTTGTAATGGACTGGTTTTCACTCTGTCTTCAAAACAGAATTTTATGGAAAGTTCAATTCTTCAAAAGTTGATGGACATAGGCTTACATTTCCCATTAATACATTTAATCATTTTCAATGAGTCATTCAAACTCATCAATGTCAATGTATTATATATTTGCCATTGATATATAAATTCTGTCAAGGGATCCAGACTAATCACAATGATGTGAAATGCTGACTTTTTCTTACTAACTGCTGCTAGAAATGCAAGATGAAGTCTCATATGCCATTTGAGGCATTATTGAAATGACATTCAAAGCAATAAGAACTCAGAAGTGGCTGGAGCAATTCCATTATACTGAGAATGTTAGCTTCATCAAGACAAGAATTTCTGTCTATTTTGTTCACTACTTTAGTGTCTAGAACAGTGTCTGGACAGTAGTAGGTACTCAGTATCTGTGGAATGGAATGATAAAATCGGTCACTTGGTAAATAGAATTTTAGCCAATTGGCTCTCAGCAAATTGATTTTTGGCATTTTAGCTTGGTTTCCTAGGTACCAGCAAGAGCAAAAAAAAAAAAAACCTTAAGGGCTTTTGTTGACTACATGTTCAGGGTACGTTGGAGTTTCCAAAGAGGTGAAAGAAATTTTAAGTTGTGTAAATATGGGGAGATCAAGGGAGGGATTTGTCCCCCCAGTCTCCTTGCTGGTTAGACCAACTTGATTCTGACTCTCCATTCCTGGAACCACACTTAAGAGATAATTTGACAAGCTGTAGCACACCCACAGGAGGGTGACTGGGATGGTCTTACATACCAGAATGGTTGTAAGATGTGTGGAACTAGTTAGACTGGAGAAGATTTAAGGGGTTATGCAAGGGCTGTCTTTTAATATATGAGGAAGCTTCCATGGAAAGTGCTCTTTCTTTTGTGTTGCCAAAGGGCAGTTAGACCAATGGATACAAACCATGAGAATGGCAGACCCTGGGTCATCTGATGCCCAATCACGTGTTCTTTCCTTTGTGCCTCGCAGAGTCTCCCTTCCCTGGAGTAAGTAGAGATTGTTCTGTAAGGTTGTTGGAGAGGAGTTATAAGAGTTGAGGATCAGAGTACCAGTTGGCTCAGGTGGCCTCCAAGTCCTGTTTCAGCCCAGAATATTAGAGACCAAGAAGCTGGGTGCTTGAGTAAGACAGACGGGTTTGGATCCTGACTCTACCATATACTAGCTGTGTGATCACGTACAAGTTACTGACCTCTCTGAGCCTCAGTTTCCTCATTCATGAAATGGAGATAACAACCGTAGGGGGGTTGTCATAAGGGTTAAATGAAGTAATGGATGTAAAGGGCTTAGGACATTGCCTGGCACATAAGTGCTCAATAAGTTCCTTACCTATTATTATGAATCAATGAAAAAGAATGTACTATGTCTTCCTTTCTTTTTGCAAGAGGTGATAATCAAGATTTCAGTCTCAAACTGTTAACGTAGACACTTCTAAGAGCTCACCAAGTTCTTCTGAGGGCAGGGAAGTTACTTTTTTGTTTTCAAAATGGCTGCTTCCACAGATGACGCCCGAATATATACACAACACTTCAGTGTTTGCCGTGGACTCCAGACTTCTGCTTTGTTCAGGGGCCTGGGTGGAATGGAGACAGGAAGAGGCTCTGAGACACAGTGGCCAAGGAGCCGGAGTGCAGACCGGGTTCAGCAGGGAAGTGGCCCCGTGAGTCACAGGCTGGAAAACTCCAGCAGGGCCCCTCTGGCTTCTGGCTCCCGGCTCCTCACGCTGGGAGACATTTCCTGCTCTTTACACTTGGCGGCCCCGCCTCCCCCAGGAGTTCCTTAAGACTCGGTCTTTAACTAAATTGTTGTAACCCAGGGGAAGGAGTGTTTTCTGTGTCTGCCAAGGCAGGAATCTCCCAAGCCTTGCAATAATTGTGTATGAAGCAAGTTGTTTCTCAGGCTGGGGCCTACCTTGCCGTCCTGGCGAAAGGAAGGCGGTAGCGTTGACTGGTTCCCTCGGGGGTTGGAGGGGCGTAGCTAGCTTGTGAGTTAGAAAGCCAAGTGTTACCACCAAAAGATTCCTTCTACAGCACCCCTGGAAGGGCAAAAGCTTCGCTTTGACTTTGGATAAGGTGCTCAGTAATCCCCTGGGCTTTGCTCGCTCGAGCTCCACGTGGCATGAAGGTCAGCACAGGAAGCCCTGGTCACCGGGGCAGAGGAGCTGATGTGGGTCATCTGGGCCCCAGCTTGGCCTTTGACAGTTTTATGGAGGACAGAAGGCAGGGAGGAAGCTCCTCCCTTGGCTTTGGCCTCCCGGCTGGTTCAGGTTGGGACTCTGTTCAAGGCCCCTCTTTGGGCCTGCAGACTGATTAGGCCCCAGACCCTCCTGGGGTCATTTGGAAACAGTCCAGGCCCTCTAACATATGGCCCTGATAAGGATCTCCCTCTCCGAGATAAGGAGCTGTTTAAGGGAATCCGAGGAAGCCCGGGGTTTGTTTCCATAACGCTGCACAATGTAAAGTGTAATCCCTACACAGATGCAATTAGCTGTTAAGAAGGGGTGCTCTGCTGGCGCATAAATTACTGTGAGTCCACCCCAGGGGGACCGAGGGCAGGTATCTTTTCCTGCCAGAGCATTAGAATGGTGACGGATGATGGGTCAAGAGGCTGAACTTTCTGCAGCTTCGGCAACCACGAGCCTCCTGAGGAGGAAGGACCCCAGGGAGCCGCAGCCACGAAGGACCATTTATTTCCCTAATATTGGGAGGGCTAAAGAGTCACCTCTGAGGGAGGCTTTGAAGTCCTGTCAAGGCTCAGTGTGGCAGCCAGCTGGCTCGGCGTTTCCCACTAACTCAGGGTTTGGCACTACAGCGCTAGGTTGCCAGGTGAGCTTGGTGAAGGTTGAGTGCCCCTCCAGAATGGTCAGGTGGATGCCTGGCAAGGCCATTAAAACTTCATCTGTCAGAAGGAAGGAGACTGTAAGTCTCATTTCTGGGCAAATAGCTACTAAATGGCCCTTACCTTGTGTACCCATGGCACCTCCGCATTACTTCCATTGATTTCATAGAAATAATAATAACAACAACAATAGTCACCGATAAATTAAGAACTTAGTCTGTGCTAGGCAGGGCACTAAGCAGTTATACATATAGTTCTCATAACAACCCTCTGAGCTAGGTGCTAACGTTATCACCAATTTACAGATGAGGAAGCTGAAGTTTAGGCAGGTTAACCTATTTGTACAAAATTGTACAGTTAGTAAGAAATAGTGGATCCAGATTTTAATCCCAGAAGCTGATTCAAGCACTGAAACTCAAAGTAAATATTTTAGGACCTGTTAGAAACATCTCTCCGCTAGACTTGTGGAGAAATCTGCCATTCCTCAGCCTCCAACTGGTATCAAGACCAACCCAAAATAAGATGTATTAGAAAAATATGTTGGTAGCGCCCATAACAATATTATCTTCTCTATCCCCTCTCTTTATCAGCCTGATTTAGCCTGACCTTCAGAAACTCATTTGGGGCTTTTCTGTCATAGTTAACTTTATGTTGTTTGGGAACTTTTTGAGATGGTGTAAGAACAAAGCAATCGGTGAAAACGCTTGTAATTATGTCTTTGAGTGTCTTCAAATTTTATAGAGACAGGGTTTTTCAGGCGAATAACCAACAGTTGGGGTGGGATGCTGAGGAAATCAAGTTAAGATTCTGGATTTCTAAGCAGAATCTAGGAAAGTCTCTTTCCTTTGAATTGGCCAGCTAGCACTCCCAACTGTCAGGCTCTCTGGAGTTTGTGTGCCCGGGCAGGATAAGATGCTCAAGGCTGGGTGGGTGGCAGACTACATTTTTTCAAGGTGACATTCTCTTTCTCTTCTGGTCTCCTCTATGCAGCTTCCAATCAGAAATATTTGAACACTGACAATGTCTGATCTGAGAATCCAATGAGCATTCCCTGCCAAGGCAGATTGTGACGTGACTGCTTAATGATGTCACTGCTCTCTTTAAGATGCTGGCTGCACCTTCCACCCACTGACTTGTGATGGGAGATTCCTAGAGACCGATTCACTCTAAGTGGAAGCTTTGTTGATTTCTCTGAAGTGACAAGAGGGTCTCCTACCAGGCACTTTATTGAAAGTTAGTCTCAGCCCACTACCGACCTCCACAGCCTGCTGGGATTCTTATTCCATGGTCGTCCTCAGACCCTGCACTGTATGTAAAGTGCTGAGTGCATACAGGGGGACAGCATGACTGCCTTGAGCATTTAGCGCACCAGATAACAGAGTCTGTGCAGTAGACTTAGGATGGCAAGACAGAAAGTGGCTCTGTGGCCAGCAAGAGCCAGGTGGGAGTGGAGTAGAGAGTGATCAGGTCAGCCAGGCTATGCCGAGACGAAAACACAGCTTACTCCGTGTCTTATCAATTGCCATTTGGTGTGACTTAAGTCAGCCCAGTATTAAATTTTTTTTTAAGGATGGGGGCAGTGGCGGAGTGGGGCAGGCATGGACGAAAATCTAAATACTGTGGTACTCATTTCCAGGACCTTCAGAAGATAATGTCCCACCAGGAGCCGTGCGGGGACACTTAGGGTAGGCTTGCCCCAAGGTGAACTAATAATCACAAAGTGATCTTTACATTTTCCGATAAAGCTCTCCCTCTTGCTACTAGCAAAAGCTGATGAACGTTGTATTTGAGTTAAGCACTGAAAGCAGCAGGGAGTGCTGAGATAAACCACCACAATTATTAACATACTTGCTGTTT